CACCATGCACAGTAACAGCTCACCTTATCAGAAGGCTTCAGGAGTCTGCCCATACAGAGGAACATCTCTTCAGAAGGCTCAAATGGCTGCTCTTCCTTGTTCTTCAGCCCAACCTTTTATACCCTTACTGTTGATGCATTGCACCTGTGTGCCCCCTGTTCCCTTTGGTGTTGGTCAGTGCCCCTGGGCACTCCATGGCTCATTGCTGGCAGTGCTGCTCACCTGCTGCTCACAGCTGAAGCTCATTTCCAATTACCACAAACTGTACCTACATTTCATTTCATTTTATTGATTTCAGATTACATTTGCAGTTCACAGTTTGGCTTTCTAATCTTGCCCTTAAAAGTCATTGCATAAAACATGGAGATCAAATTTGTATTCATACAATTACACATTAGCAAGAATGAGGAAGTTAAGAGTCTGATCCATTGTCCACATGTCTCCCACACACGTATGATCTGTTGCATGAGTGCAATTAATTTATTAAATAAAGAAGTATCTTGTGCTCAGCATTAAAGACACATAGGTTGAAATTACCAAGCCAGTACAACAGCATAACTTACCATTTTACATCAAGAAAAGACAGGGTAATTTGGGATTTTTAGGGTTTTTTTTTTTTTGTATGCTAAGGAAAAAACCATTTATTTGGCATATTTTGTATGTAAAAAAAAAAAAAACAAAAACAAAACACAGAGGTGGAAGGGAACCCACTTATTACAGTTTAGTGTAAAAAACAATTGTTTTCAAGAAAAACATTAGCTCCTACACTGTACACATTTTAAATTAAAAGAACTATGTCTCAAATTGTTACAGCAAGAACATGATTAAAAATAGACACTATGTTTTAACTGTTAATTTATCTTTCCCATTTTTGGAAGCAATTGTTCAAATAAACAACTTTTCTCAAGGTTATCTGCTAACAACCATAAAAAAGTTGGTAGAACATTTGCACATTTTCCCTTGTTCTCTCCTTCACCACTGTGTTGTTAAAACAGCATAAAGGTTTAGTGCTGCTACAGGCTCCCAATGCTTTACATTTTTGAGTTAACATATATCAAAAATCTGACTGCCTCACGCATTTTAATAGCCAAGAGCATCCCTTGCCAACTCTAAGGGGAAACCAGAAAAAATTACTACATTTTATTCTCCACTCTCAGCCAAAGCTCAGTGCTGAGCAAGTAGCTTTAGTTACAAGCAAAAATAATTTAGTTACAAGCAAAAATAATTATAAAGCAGGTGCTGCTTTATAATTAAGCTGGACTGGATTTCAGAAATTCTCATTTTCCTTTATGCTGTGGCAGCCAAAGAGCATCCACTCATCTTTAAAAGCCCACCTGACCTAGTGCATTCATGTTAATCTTCTTCAGCAGGCCACATTCTGGCTACTTCTTAATTCTGCATCCATAGCAGAATACCCTCACATTCTAGGGCAAGAGCAACCATTTCCAAGAAAAGTTTGCCCTGAACAGTAAAAAACCAGGAAGCATTCACTCCACAAAACAAAGAGTGGCTTTTCCAAGCAGCAGGAAATCTTTTCCAAAGAGAACATACTACTGCTGGAAAAAGAGCTTCTGAAGAGCTTGAAAAATCCAATTAGCCCACGCTAAGTTTTCTGTTACTGTTATTCTATTTAACTAAGTAGGCCTTCTGAAATACCTTCTGCAGTCTGACACCCCCTGGCTGAATTAGAATTGGCAGCAGCTTTTCCAATGGCTTGCTGAGACCAGCAGCAGTAGCTAAGAGCAGTGAAGGATGGAACTTAAAAAACTTTAAAGTTCTGGAGTTCTGGAACTTAAAAAACTTTACAGTTCTTAAGAAAAAACAAAACAGAGGATACCTTAGACTTACTCTAAAGTAGTACCTTAGCTCCAGTGACATTTTCCTCCACTGGCATGTGTCTTCTATTTTGCTCTAAGTCAGAAGGTCCATCCCTTCTGATGCCTAGGTAAATCTGAAGCAACAGCTAGCTTTGTTCTAAGGGAGAGAAAACAAGTTTACTGTATTTCCCAGGACAACACACTTTAAATTCAGTTTTGATATTCTCTTGAACTCAAAACATGGAAATGCTTTATTTAATTTTTTTTAAATTTAGCACACAGGTATAGCAGCCTGGAGTAGATCTCTTTCTTTCAGTGAATTTTATGATTTACTCTCCAACCACCAGATTCATGGTTCTGTTTTCCAGAGTAAGGAAAGGTTTCTTCCCAAAGTTCTGCAACAACACAATTCCAAATCAGTTGTTTCTCCTTGGCAAACCTTGAGCTTTCTTTCAGCCTCACACCTCAGGGATGGGTGACAATGCAAAGGCCAGCTGGCAGCTTGAACTGGGAACTAGGAACTGTCTGCATGTGTTCACTGTTGCAAACTCTGGGCAACACAGACAACAGCAGCTACCTCTCCTTAATGAGGGCTGACTCTTGTTCATGTGCCTTAATATAAAACAAAAATAATTAAAATATGAGACAGTTCCCTGTGCCAAAAGGTTAATATACCACTGCTATCTACTGCTATTTCAGTCATTTGACTTAAGATTCAGGAGCTGGAATCAGAGATACTAAGACTGAAGTAGTTATAATCCACACAATTGCACAGGATCATTCACTAATGACTGGAGTGACTTTTTTTTTTTTTCTTTTTATATATATTTGGGTCTTTTTTTTAAAAAAATATATTTGATTTTAAGAAAATATTGGAATGCTGGAGAATATATTATTTGCCTTTATTTATCACAAGAATTCACAAAGCTACAGTTCCTTGATAAAATGTTCAGACTGCAGCTTATCTGCCACTCTGGAGAAAGATGGCCTGTGTTGCAAATAGCTCTGTGCTGTTTGTGGCTGGGATCGTGTAATTCCCTCCACAGTAGCTAGTGTGGGATTAGTGCTGGAAACAGCACGGATGACACAGGGATGCTTCCATCACTGCTGAGCAGTGCTTAAGCACAGCCAAGGCCATTTCTGCTCCTCACACAACCCTGCCGGTGAGGAGGCTGGGGGTCACAAGAAGCTGGCAGAGGACACAGCCCTGGGACTGCTGAACACTTCCCTGCCCGCAGGAAGGGGTGAATGAATCCCTTGCTTTGCTTGTGCATGTGGCTTTTGCTGTATTGAACTGTCTCTACCTCAGCCCGTGAGGTTTCCGACTTGCACTCCTCCGGCTCCGGCTCCGCCCCCTGGCAGCGGCAGGGCCTGAGCGAGCGGCTGCGCAGGGCTCAGCGTCTGCCTGGGGGCAAACCCCACACGGGCGGTCTGGTACAAACCCAACTCACGCTTTTACACTCGCTGGGCACCAATTACATTGAAAGCACACAATGTGATTTTCTTCACAATTACTGGTATGCTTGATTCATTTGTGTGCATATGTCCTAGTAATTCCAATTTCTGTATAGGTGCATTACAGTAATTTCAGATTATGTGCACTTTAAATATGTACCTTCCTATGCCTTACTCAAAATTATACAATGAATAAGTAGGAATGAAGGATGAAAGTTATTTTAATATTAGAACAAACTTACTTTTGGTTCCTGATCTACCCTATTGGATTTTTCCTCCTTTGAAAGACTGAGTCTTTCTTCTTCAAATATTCACTTTTCCTTCAAAACACCCCAAGCAAAAATGAGTAACAGAGAATAAACAAAATAAAACAGCCCAGAGTAACAAAGGAAATACAACAGAAATTATCTACTGTGCCCAAAGCTGTGCCAGACATTTATATGCACTCATTTCCTTTCATCCACTCAATAATTGCTTCAACTCAACACTAAAATATCTGCTTTGGATCCCAAGATTGGACCTTAAATCTTCTCAGGCATTTCAACTGTAGAAGTCACCTGGCTGAAGACAACACAATGACAACACAACATCCTAGCATTAACAGTCTTCATTGTTCACAGAAGGAAACTATGGAGTACTTCAACTTTCTGAAGACCTGATGCGAAGGAACGGAGACAATGGAGACAGGGGCTTCTTGGGGTGTGCAGTGACAGGACCACAAAGAGGCAAAGGGCACAAACTGAACAACAAACAGGAAATTCCATCCTTTGGAAGACATTGAAAACTTGGCTGCACACAGATCTGGGCAATTTGCTGTAGGTGACACTGCTATGAGTAGAGAGGTTGAAGGAGATGGTCTCTCTAAGCCTTCCAACCTTACCTAGCCTGTCAGGAGCTTCACACTTTTCTGTGGACAGGTGTTATACTACATTCACTCATTTATATACCTCAAAAAATCCCCACAAAAGCCAACCAGATTGAAGGCAGCAGCTAATTCTTAATCAGCAATCAGGTCAGCCTGGCTACCCCAGAAAACTTGTTCCTTATTGGAACTTGCATCAGCGGAGAACCAAAATCAAGTTTTTGGGTTCATTTAAGAGCAATTATTTGAATTTTACCTCATCAATAAAATCTCTGTAATAGTTTCCATTTCCTTTTAAGACTGTGGCTAGCAATAACTATGTAAAATGGTTTGTGTAAGAGTATTCTGAACCAACAAATTCCAAACTTAACATGGAAATAGGGTATGGAGACAGGCATTAAAGATGAGCATTTGCACTCAACTACAACTGCTGAGTGCAGGGTTGCACACAACTCTTGTAACTTTGCCTACTGCCTCTGTACTTACCTTAGAGGTCCACTCTGCAGGTATCAGAGAAAGCAAGGACCCTGGAACCAGCATCATCTGGTGATGTGGAATCCTCAGGATCCTCAGGCTTGAGGGCTCAGACAAATCACCACAGGGAAGTACTGCAGCTGCTACAGGGCTCCTAATTTTACATTTAAGCTTTATTTTAATGTAAAGAACGACTGGAGGAAGAGCAAGGCATTTATTATTGTCTATTTTTTTTTTGTCATTTTATAGTTTAATACCTCAAGTTCTACTTTAAAAACCAAAACAAACCAAAAACCCAAAACAATACCCAAGCAACCTCCCTCTTCCCCCACTCCCGGCCTCTGTGGGCCACGGGAGCTGGTTCCCCACACGCGGCGCCCCTGAGGCGCGGAATGCGGCCCGGGCCAGCCCTGCGTTCACTGATCTGCTCCCAAACGAGGGGACATCGTGAGGGTACAGCGGGGACACTGCGGGGACACCGTGAGCCACAGCGAGGGCACCACGCTGCCGGCCCGGCCCGGCCCAGGCGCGGTCAGTCCCGTCCCGCCCCCTCAGAGCCCGGTGGGCGGAAAGCGCCCCCTCACGGCGCCCCCTTCACGGCTCCCCCTCACGGCTCTCCCCTCACGGTACCCCCTCACGGCTCCCCCCTCACGGCTGCCCCGTCACGGCTGCCCCCTCACGGCGCCCCCTCACGGATCCCCCCCCCCCCCTCACGGTGCCCCCTCACGGCTCCCCCCTCTCGGTACCCTCTCACGGCTGCCCCGTCACGGTACCCCCTCACGGCTCCCCCCTCACGGCTCCCCCCTCACGGCTGCCCCTCACGGCTCTCCCCTCACGGCACCCTCTCACGGCGCCCCCTCACGGTGCACCCTCACGGCGCCCCCTCACGGCTACCCCCTCACGGCTCCCCCCTCACGGCTCTCCCCTCACGGCTCCCCCCTCACGGCTCCCCCCTCACGGCTGCCCCGTCACGGCTCCCCCCTCACGGTACCCCCTCACGGCTCTCCCCTCACAGCTCTCCCCTCACGGCGCCCCCTCACGGCTCTCCCCTCACGGCGCCCCCTCACGGCTCTTCCCTCACGGCTGCCCTCTCACGGCTCCCCCCTCACGGCGCCCCCTGGCGGCTCCCCCCTCACGGCGCCCCCTGGCGGCGCCCCCCTCACGGCGCCCTTTGGCGGCCGTGCGCGCACTGCTGCACCTGCCGCTCCTCGGGAACAGCGCAGGAGCTGAGAGATCCATAAGTAATTCTCACCAAACTCAAGTTGAAATCAACCAAAAAAACCCAAAACATGTCACATAAATTCATCTTGAGTTACTTTATTTTCCACAATAATAAAAAATAAATTAGTCATAAACAAAAATAGTTAACATTTTTTCATCAAAGAGAAAATGTATACAATATGAAAAGGATGCTGTACAGTTCTGGTTCAGGTACATTGCCACGGATATATATTCCTGAACGAGTCAGAAAGCAATTTGCTTATGCTCTCCCCCTTTAATTCACTCAAGGAACTGGCTAATCAGAAAGTTTAGAAAATTGTATTATGGATTTACAGTATGACATATATACAAAAATATATATGTAATACCTGTGCTATAAAATTCCCTAAAAAGATGGGTTAGTATAATGAAAAAGCTGGACAAAATTTGAATGGTATATGTAAATAAATACATATTAGGTCCCTTTTAATAAAAAAATCTGCCTATTCTAAATATTTGAAATATTTTGGTGCAGTGGCTTGTTCCATAGACACAGCTCAGAATTACATATTTCCCATAGACATCTTGTATTTACAAATAACAACAAAATAAGTTATAATAAAGTATATCCTTCTGCCAAAATCAATTATGAGGGTCAAATAGACAATTTTATACATATTAAAAAAAAGTTAGGGTTTCTTTTGTCTCCCGTCCTTCCTGATCCTCTCTGTAGATCCTGAGTGACTATGATGGGACTTCACAAGCTCGCATGTACCCAACCCTGCCAAGGCCACTGGTCTCAAGAGACCCAAACACAGTGTGGAAAAACAGGTCAGCAGCACTGATGTGCTGAAAGGTGAATGATCCACCAGAATAAAGCTCCCCTCCTCTCCAGGTATGATGGTACTTATCCAGTTACAGTACATAGGGATATAGAAAACTGGGGACTCTTGCTCCTCTGAACTTCTGGTTATTAAAAGGTGAGAAGTAAAGGAGCAAATTCAGGTCTGCTATGAATTCTCTGAAATGGAATTTCCTCCCTTTCCGGTCTGAATTTTACCCACAGTGAAACATCATAATGATTACAAGTTTGCTTTAAAATATATTGAAAATATCGAGTGGATGATTTTTCATTTCTGATGTAGAAGTAATTATTTTACTCTGTTTTCTAAACAATGCCTAATTTCATCTCCCACAAACATTCTATAAGTATAGCAATAAATGAAGTTTACTTTCATGTTCAAAATTTCTTGGTTTTTGTTCCAGTTCCAGGCATGCACATCAATTATCTGCCCAATACACAGAATAGCTCCTAGGAAGTCAGAGACACAAAGTCTGAAGAAAACAGGTAAACACATGGCTTTTCCTTGGTGAGGACTATAACTATTTCTGTGCAATAGATCTTACATATGAGAATAAAGGGCCACCACAGACTTCAACAGCTGTGCAATCACAGGTTCATTGCACAGGAATTAATTCAGTATGTCCTTTACTACTATGCATTTTAAACTAGCCAGCATGGCTATGCACAGACACAAAAATCCAGGGGCTGGCAAAAATACAGCTCTCTTAACAGCTGGGCTTATTTCTAACACAGATTCTTATAAACCAAAGGCCAGTTCAGGATTTTCAGTAATTTAATATTGTCATCCAAAGGACAAAGGGATAAAAGTGAGATAAAAAGGACAGGAGAAGCGTTGGTGTTGGTGTAAAAGGGAGGTAAGTCAGGATGAGGAAGGGGAAAAACAAAGCCCTAAAAGGCACATTTTCCTACTTACAGTGGTACATGTTATAAAGAGGCCAAGCCTCCTGTATGAGCCCTACACGAGCCATAGGAGCACCTCCCTCCTTCCTCCCTCAGTGAGGACCCACTGTGCAGGGCTACAGACTATATGACTGACACAAGACTGCACCACATTGCCATAACACTGGGATCTAAGCAATAACACCAAACACTGCTTTATTCATACACAAAGTTCTCCATTTGCTGAAGTACTGGGGAAAAGCAGGATGTTTATGTGTGCAATGAGGAAGACAGCAGTACCCTGTGCAGGGATTCTGAGGTGGTCCTGCAGTGAGCCTGTGACCACCCAGCAGGGGTGGGCTGCAAGGCTGGCAGGCCTGCAGCACAGCCAGGGGCACTCCCCAGCACTGCCCTGCCTCCTGACCAGCCCTGCCCTGTCCTGAGCCCTGGGCCTGAAGGCCACAGACCAAAGCAAACACTGACTGTCTCCCTGCTGGCCAAGGCAGGCACATCCACAGGTCATTCCCACAGGAGCAACCCTCAGACTTTCACACCATCCTCTGGGAGAGGAAGGGGGGACTGCATGAATTCAGTCTCTCAAATTTGGTGTGCTTTTGGTGTGCACAAGGAATTCTACCTACATATGCTTGAAGATGACACTGCACAGGAGCTAGCAAAACCTGACAAGCCCTTGGTAAGTTGATAAACTTACAAGCCCTTGGTAATTTGATAAACAACTGCACCAGGAATCCTCCATTCCCAATGGAAAGTGCTTTGAGACACAGGGCCTGCTCTGGATGAAGCTGATTTTGAGCAGCTGCATGTGTGTAGGACATGGAAGTTGTATGCAGATTTTAACCCATAAGCAGCTGGACTCTTTCAATAAATTATCTAACTTACTCTGGTCTTCCTGGATTGCATAAGGCATCTTCAAGGCAAGGAAGCATTTTTTTCCACCATTCTGCGTTTTTTTGACTGTTAAATTGTCAGAAAAAGAAATTAAAACATTAAAAATCAGAAGTGTGCATAATTGATATTTGCAATTGATAATACACATAATTTCTTACTTATACTGGTTTCACATCTGCTCTATGTCTACTACATTCATTAAGGCCACCTTTGACTTACAGAAGATAAAATCAAATCCCCTGCAGGCATCATCCTAAGTTGGGGCACAGCTCTATTAGAACAAACACTTGCTATAGGCACAATTTAAAAATCATGCTTTGTGAGATGGGGAAATCTTAGCACAGCACTTGTGCAGACAATATTAGTATATCAAAGTGCTGATGAAAAGGGCTCATTAGTTCATTTTGCAGGAACAACTATTTTAATAATGCTGACACATGAGAAGAGATGATAAATGATTAGGTTCAGCAGCATTCTGGTACTTTTCTTCCCATTAATATTTACTTACCATTAGATATTTAATTAAGTACAACTGTTTTTCTTTTTAATCTGGTACATCTGAAAAATGTCTCTTTACTTAAAAATAAAGTACAGTTTGTATAACCATATCTCACTGCATTAAATTCACAAAGCTGCATACTTTAGATGTAATACAGGGTTATACTGCCATGTGTATGTATATATTCCTTGACAGCTCTCACAAACACTGTTTACATTAGTGGCAGCTTAACAGAGCCTACAAGATGATCATCTTTGTAAATAAGCTAATGGCCATATATTCCAGAGCAAAATAACAGATTTTATAAAATAGGGGGATCTATCTATGTGCTGAGTCACTGATGGTGTCACAGCCAAAGCATGTGTAAGAAGAATTTGTTCTATGACTGCAAACCAGATTCCCTCTGCATCTCATTTGCCTCGGGGTTTCCAGGAAGCCTTTTCATGGAACAGGTATTTCCCTCAAGCTGACAGAGAACACTTCCTTGGGATGAAAGAGATAACAGCAAAAATTATATAATGCATGTCAAGATTTGCTGCAATTAGATACACAGATGAAAATCTGTATTCAGAAGTACTGGATTCCAGAGCTGTTTACACTGCACTATATCCATATCATTCTTTGGTCAAGAATCTAAGGAACATAATATGGTAACAAATCTGTAAAGTTATCTTTGTGGATAAATCTTTGTAATACAAGGAAACAGGAGGACTGTGAAAGATTAATGAACTTGAAGTTTCCTAATTAGAGTTTCTGTTTCTAACAACTTTATGTCTATTATTTACAGTGACAAAGCCCAAGTCAAAGTGTACAGAAACAGCCAATGACATTTTTGGCTGACATACAACAATTTATAGTCACAAAGAGTACCTCCAAATTTTAGGGGAAACACTTCTTCATTTCATGTAGCCAAACAGTAGTAGTTCATCGTATCCAAAACATATTTTTCAAGAGTGACCAAATCAGAACATTCAGAAGTTAATGGCAATGCAAGGCAGCTTTTAGACTACAGGAATTCCACCTTCCTGTGGCTCTCAGCACAAAAACTGATGTGACTGCTTTCACACTCAGCAACCTTTGCCTCCCAGCGTTCCTCTGCACCAAAGCAGCAAGAAGAAAAGGATACACAATGAGGCTCAAACATGGCTCTGCATCAGTGGCAGGATACCTTAACCACACCTCTGGGATTGGCTGAACATAGATTATTAAGCTGCTTTGCAACTCAGACATCAGGCACTTTAGGAACAGATCCATAGATGGGCACCACTAATTTACAAGCAATATGCTGTAATAAACAGCTGAATAAGCAGAGGTGTTTCTGTTTTTCCCCTCAGCCTTATTTACACATTTGAAAGACCTCTCAAATAAAGGCTAGAGAACAAGCAGATAATGCAAAACCTCATCTGCACTGCATAGTATACTATTTGCCCTTAGCAAGTCTCAAGGCTTAGTACAGTAATTGCAGAAATGAAAAATCACCACTTAAAATCAGCTCTAAGTCTGCAGCCATTCTTAAGCAACAGGAAATGAGTGGTATGAATAGATCTGCACAATGAAACACTGAGCAAAAAAAGACAAGTATGTTGTAATAACTGATCAAAACCTGAAGAATGCCAATAGCTAAGATCCCCTCTGTACAGATACTCAGCTACCAGACCCATACTGCTGCCTGATACCAGGAGTAACAGACTGCTCTAAGGCACACAGACCTCTCTCCTTTGGTGGCTGTTTCAGAAACTGGTGACATCTCCAGACTAGGTCTGAACAAAGTACTTTGGTTTGGCAGTTGTTAAACAATAGTGCAGAGACAAGAATTAGGCAAGATCCCAGTTCTGAAATAAGTCCCCTACAGAAAAGAGACCTCACCAATGGAAACAATCACTTTTTATACCAGCAAAGGTTCTTCACCTTTCTGGTTAACCTGTCTCACTGACAGCTGCAGCTGTTAAAGACTTAAAGAGTTAGACACCAGTGTCACTCTGGTAGGGAATGGATTTTAAAATCCATACAGAATTATAAAAGTGTGTCTTCACAAGTTTATGAATTAAATATAAAGGCACCTTCTGGCAGTCAAGTGTGTATATAATTGCTGCCTAAGGACAGGACATCACTTAAAAAGACAACTGAGAGACCTTAACAGTGACTCTGATTTATTATGAATGGACTGAAGTAGTTAAAAATAAATGTTAGAGTGCTAGGAAACTGATGATAAATGCTTTTCAAGGGTCTGGTTCTTTGGGAAGTCATTTTTCTCATGCATGTTTCATTGATTTAGTCCTCTAACTTAAGGCAGTCCAAAAAACCAAGTAAGCACTCAGAAAATAATGGAGCAGCTGCATCCATACTGGTCAATTATCTCCAGTATTGACTGCAATTGATTTTAGTTCTCATTAATTTCACAATCTTAAGGCCAGTATGTTCCTTAAATAAGTATCTGATGAGCAGGTGCAAATAATAGTATCATTAAAAATGAATGCTTTAAAAAAAATCATGATTTTACAACAAACATCCTAAAAGAGATAACTGCACAATAACTGAAAGGGTGTGAGATTTAACCAAAGTCTCGATGCACTCAGCAATACAAACCCCATGTCTAGGAAGCTCCAAGTGCTGCAGTCCAAGCAGCAGCACTGCCCAGGCTCCACGTGCAGAGTGCCAGAGGTGCAGGGAGCAGGGCAGGCTGTGTTATCTGCGGCCCAGGAAGCCTGGCTGTCTGTTGGCCACGCGGCTGCAGGAGGCACAGCACGCTGATTTGTAGTAGGTGTACACACAGAGCCGGGCCTGAACCACCACGTTGCAGTTGTAGTATTTGTCCTTGCAGTTCTCATCTGTGCAGAGAGAGGAAGAGAGAAGAAACTGAAGAAAACAGTACTAGAGCAACAAATAATCAGTACTCTTCCTTTGACCATGTAAAACCTGGATTTGAACATTCATTGTCAGGTTAAAATAGGTTACCTAAGCAAATAAATTAGATTATTTAGGATTTCATATAAAGATATATAAAGCATAGAAGAAATGTAGCTATCCCCATTTCCCCAGGTTTTTAATGTTGTTGTCTTAGCATGTTGAATAATTCTCAACTGAAAGTTGTTGGAAAACATTCAGAGTTAAAACTGCCTCTAAATTCTTGCTTCTTTCTCTTCCTAGCCATTCTCATTACTATAAAATTCAAATCTGTATGAGATGAATGACTAATTCCAATGCAAATTAAGTGCATCCCTGTATTTACTATATACAAAAGGAAATTGCTTCATTGCACTTAATACCTTAGTTTAATTTTGTTGGTTCTTATAGAACCTGTTTCCAAAAACAGTATATAATGATACCTTTTTTTTTGTTTTAAAGACTCTTCCAAGAGAAACCTTGGAGAATGCAAGGAGGCAGCAGAAAAACACCCTGAATTTACCATTTTCACAGAAGCAGATCTCTCGCATTCTCAGCAACTTCAAGAATAAGCCAGTTTCTTACACATTACAAGGAAAACATTTTCATTGGAAACCTACTTTTAAATCACAGAAAAGAGCTGTATTTTGTGTAAAAATAAAACCCCGAACTCAATAAAGAATATATACTATTGAAGTCTATAAAATAACTTCTCCACTAGATGGAGTTGCACAGTTATACAGAAGTTTCCTGTCCCTTACCTATTTCAGGGACACAATCCTGTGTGTTACAGGGTTCCTTCTCTTCAGGTTTGAGCTGTGGGTCACACTGAGAGCTGGCTGCCATGTCATCCGACAGGCACCGCACCTCGCGCAGCCGGAAGCCTCCTTCGCAGGACTTGGAACACTGAAACAATGAACTGAAGTTCATGAAGGCCACAGGAGATGTGTCATTACAGCCAGTAAACAAGGGAACCTTGATGCCAGAGCCAGGTGTCACTGCAGCCTTTTATCAACTTCACCCTACTGGTTTTATTTTCTACCTAGGAAGCCCTTAATATACAGGGAAAATGTTCTTCAAGATTCCCAAACATTTTTGACCACAGGAGCAACAAGCAGACAAATAAACATAGTGGATGCTGTGCAACTGAAATGAAGCTGGAACAGTTCCCTTTCTGAATTTATTACTTAGCATCTGCTGCTTTAATTAGTCTGGTTGTTCTCTGCTCATTTAGATGTATCTCCCAAATCTACTCTTTCCATAGTGTTCACATTTCCTGCTTTAAGAACTTAACTGCACTGAACTTTATTACTTGACTGCCCTGCCCTCCACTGTCCCTTTTGCCATTTATATACCAGCAAGAATAATTTTAATTACCTTTTTTTTCCCTAGCACTCAATTATTTTTCACTTCTTGCAGCACAATGATTTTAGTAACCATTGTAAGTTTCTTTGAATTTCTAAAGGAAATATTTCTGTGCTCCTTCAGGGTCTGTTATGAAGCCAAAGACTTTTGTACTTGCTTGTTATGGTACTTTTAAAGCCAATTATTACACATTTCTGCCCATACTGAAGCAAATCCTCATTGGCCAAGGATTTTGCCTGAGTGAGGTCTTTGAGATTTGGCTCACTGTCCAGTTTGACCTAATGCTCAAAAACTTAATTAAACTTGGGTCATTTATGATTAAAACCTTAATAGCCCAAAACTAGTAAGAATGTTTTCTTTCTTTTTTGGCATAATTATTTATTTTCCTAACACTGCATGAACAACTTATCGTGATCATAAAATCATATATTGTAAAAAACTAACCAAAGTAGTCTCAATATTACATTTTTAAAGTGTTTTTTCATCTTTAAGTACAATCTTTACCCACATTTGAAAGGGCAGCCATGTGCAACAGTAACAGAACATGGATTTTTCTAGAGTTACTCCTGTTACATGCCCGTATGGAACACTGTAATTATTCCACATCCACATCCAGCCATAAGGACTTTGGGTCTCTAGAGATCTTAAGCACTTAGAATGGAAGCAAGACTCACATCACACTTCACACAAACCATTCTGAGCTGCATCCACACTGCAGAGCTGCCAATGGCAACCTGAGCCATGGCTCAACAAAGGGTCCAAGTGACTGCATTCAATACGGTGTCATCTCATTCTAAGATGACAATGGACTTCCTGATTTTCATTTAGGACAAAAATGTTGATTTTTTTCGGTAGAAAACTAATAAACTATGTCATATATAGGAAATTATGGATGAAATTGAAGTGTTTTGTGGCACAGTGGTAAATGTAGCTGGTCCACTTCCAGGGGAAACTGAAGATACATGAAGCCGTACAACACATTTTCTCCCAGTGAAGTTCTAAGTATTACAGTGAAGAGTTTACAGTAAAATATTATGGTAAAACTGACTCTAATGAATACATGCCTCATTCTTTATTAAATACTCCTTAATTTTAATGAAACTAGAGATCTAAAAGGAACTTCTAAGTGCACCACACTGTCTCACTGTAAGGGCCAAACCAACTTTATAAAACAGGAAGATTCTATGAACAAGACATCAATGATACAAAGACAACTGTGCTGTCTCTCTCTGGTCAAGATACTTCCTGAATTTTCTATGTTCCACCAGGCAAAGAGTTGCTTTCTTTTTATTATCATTCCTGTGCAAAGTTAAATCAATTTCATGATGGGTGGTTGTATGCAAATAGTGCTCTCTTTCAATATAAAGAGAAAAAGATGTGTCAAATAAAGTACAGATACAGGAAAACATGACAGACTTACTGTGCTCCATTCTGTATGAAACCACTTAGATCCACATGGTTTGAGGTAGCAGGACTGCTGGCTGGGAGGTTTTTCCAAATATGAACATTCATAGGGGTTCAAAACTTCAAAATTACCTTCAGTTTTCCTAACACAAATTACTTCTCTCTGCTGAGTTCCACTACCACATTCAGTAGAGCACTGTATCAGGGAACAAAAAAAGTGGGAAAATCTGTTACTCTCCTTATGTCCATCAACTTATTTACAGAGTAACATTTCTCTACATCACATGCTACTATGGACTCAAAACATTTCTAATTATCTTCATGAAGAAGACATATGACTCTAAGTGTAGTTCTGGAAAAATCTCAAAGTGTAGTTTTACCTGTAGCTATAAAAGAAACTGGTATTTATTTTCCCAATCAACAGAGAAGCATAACTCACTTTCTCCATAAGCAGAGTTACTGTTTCTTGCTGAAGCAGGATCCTATGTGCTGCACTGAACTTTGGAAGGTTGTAAGGTTAGAGCACAGTTTTGCAGCTTTACAAAGCCTCACATTCTGTGCTGTTTTTAGAAAATGCCTTGATCTGCCAGGGTGTTATTTTCATGCTTGCAAGTATCTATGTGATGTAGTGTTGGTTCCAGTCCTGAAAAGTGAATTTGACTCACTTGGATTCCTACTGCCCATTTAAAGGTTAAGTACACACACAATACTGTTTCTGGCACTTGTAAAAAGGTTTTTAGAAGATGATTACAGCAACACATTGGTTTCTAGGTTGCATAAAGGACTACGGTTTTCAGAAGGCTTTTTCCAGCCTAAACCAATGAAACATTCCTAACACTGGGGATTTTCTTTATATTTTTGGTAGAATTTACAATCCCTTTACCAGATTCCCACAAAACTCTTGAGCTGAATGAAGAACCTTAAGATAAATGCACCTGAATAAATTCTACAGGAAGTAGAGTAACTGCACTTTCTTTAACACAAATCATCTCTTTCAATGGTTCCTCTGAAAGGCACCATGTGAACACCCACCTTAGTTCTGGCAGGGGGAGGCCAGCCCTCAGTGTTCCCCACTGCTCTGTCCTACTGACTGCTCTCATCTTGCTATTAAAAACCAGATAAAGCAGCCAGGGCTTGGCCAGTAGAACTGATGTTGTCAGACTTTGACTGTGTGCATCAAACAATTCAATTGCAAAGAAAAAAGGTGAATTAAAAGAATAGTCAGGATGCTCTGAACTGAACATCTTTCCAGCACAGCAAAATGGGTATAGAGTTCCTGTTCACTGTCTGGAGCAGTGTGAGTAACAAGGCCTGGATTTCATCTGTTATTAGAACTGCAGATAAAGATTTTTTAAATATGAATTTGTTATTATTGTTATACATATTTTGATACACAATAATTTTTACTTGCACTTGAAAGCATTAGCATAGCAGTAGCCCTGTAATGTCCCCCTCAGCTGTTCCAGTTTAACTTCCAGCTCCTTATCTCCTGGAAGGACTGTGGATCTGCAGTGCAGTGAGTTAACAGCACAGCTCCACCAAGCAGTCCCAAAGGCTCTCCAGGCAATGCCAGAGCCCACACAAAGGGACACAAATGCCTGGGCATGAGTTAGCAGCTTCTGAAATGCCTTTGTACCTGACAGAAGAAATGCTCATTTGGAACAAGGGCTACTAGATGTGGATGAAGGGAAGAATTTACTTTGAGGACAGAGTATCAGTATAGAGCCCACTAACCAAAATTGTTCTTTTGCTTATTGTAATGACTTTCAGTACAAGAATACCAAAGCTAACTTTTGGATTTAGCCATTGCTTTTTGCCTTCTTTAACTTTTAAAAATGTCATATGCATACATATGTATAGGTATGTATCTCCCTGCATTCATGCATGATCACAAAGGCTCTACTTTAAGAACTTCAAATCCATTGTTTTAGTGTTTACCTGAACATGCTGAGCAGAATTCTGTCACCATTCTTTTCATAAATACACTGGGTCAGTAGGTGAAAAACAAAAAATGAAGATAGAGAGGAGAAGAAAACCAATTTTTTTTCTTTTTATCAAAGTAAAAAAACTCAGCAGATGCTGAAAAGTATTGAACATCAATTCAGTAAAATACAGGGAAAAATACCAAATAATACTGGTAGAGAGAAATACTCTAGATACCAAATAGATATATTTGATATATATATACATATATATATATATATATATGATATCTATAGATATATTTGGTATCTAGAGTATTTAGATACTCTAAAATACCAAAAAAATACTCTAGAGAGATGAAGAAATACCTTATGGCACACATCTTTATTGCATTGAAATACAAGTTTAAAAGTAAAATACCAGCAGAAAAGCAACAGACATGTTAGACTTGGTCCCTGGCTTACCTGTGTCCAGCCCCCAGCAAACCACTCGACCTTGCCAGCGCAGGGCCCGTTGTTGCAGGGCGTTGTTTCCGCGGGTCTGTTGTTGCCGCAGCCCTCCAGGGGCAGGCTGCTGACGTGGTTGGTCATGCAGAGCACGGAGCGTGTGCGGATCCCGTCCCCGCACTCTGCCGAGCACTGCGAGAGACACAACAGGGGCACAGTGTTGGGAAGGATGGAAGTTTGACAAGAAAGTTTCACAGATGTGTGTGCTTAGCAGAAAGATTTTTAAATGTAGAATCTGAAGAAGGAATAGAGATGGAAGCAAGTTTTGATATAGAAGAAAAGAATTGCTGAGCCAGTCTTACTGGATAACCAAGGTGAGTTAGTTAGAAGGGGTTTTTATGACTTGAGCAAAGGATAAACCCACCTCAAAGAAGATGTTTTTACCAAGCAGAAAGATAGCACAGGCAAACAAGTCAGCAGATGTTGCAAGTAGAAAAAAGGTCTCAGAATTTTCCAGTGCAAGAAAACTGAAAAACAACTTCTAGCCTAAACTGTAAAGTACTAACTTTTAGTGATTGGAGAATAGTAACATGAATATGATAATTATAGTAGTTATAGGTAAAAGTTAAGGTATAGATTGGTTCTACTGTATGAAGATGCTCAGCAAAGAAAAGTCTATCATGCATTGTAACCTAAACCAAAGGGTGTCCAGGCCTGCCTGCAGCTGGAGCTGACACCTGTAAGGCACAGCTCTGTCACCCACCACCCTGGACTGCTGGAACCTCTTGGATATAATAAACTGCATTTTGAAGAACTGCCTGGAGTCCCACATCCCTCATTTAGGCTCTTACAGCACAGGAAATGACAATGACAGTCATGGAAGTTCATTCACTCATTCATTCATTCAAAGTCAATTATTTTTACTTGTAATTCAGCTGTAGCAAATTGTCTTACAGTTTCATACTTCCAAAAACACTACACGTGTACCTGTCTTTACAGTCAAAAATGAAAGGATTAGCTAAGAAAGAAAACTCTTGGTTTACAGCTTTTTGTTAGCTTTCTTACTTTTCCTTTCTTCTTCCTGTCCATAAATTCTTCCAATTTTCATTTTATTAATCTTTTTTTTCACACTAATTAGTAGCTCTGAGAATGGGTAATTTCAATAAAAATAGGACAGCAGTCCTAGTTCAGCCTTTGTTTTGCTCTCTGGTTTCTCCTCCAAGCATTCAAGCTGTGAGCCAGGTGGATCTTACACTGGCTGAAAGGACAAGGTCAGGAAAACTCTGAGGGCTGTGGCACTGGGAGTGAAGTGACTGCACATGCTGGAACTCTTCCATATAACAAACTGATAGACTCTGATAGCACAGTGAAGTAGAAGAATAGAAATTATTTTGACAGGTCATTTCAAAAGATTCAGGTAAGTCCTCAGTAAGTAACTGTAACTACCATGAGTTATTGCCCAGCCTGTTTCAACTGAAAGTTTAAAATTTGTTTTAGGAGAGGTGGCCATAGAAGCTTATGCCCATTCAATGCTGCTTTTTAGTGATATGACTTTCCAGTAACTAATGCTCACCATTCTGAAAGTTACACTGCTAAATCCTAAAGGCTCTTACTAAATAGTGATATGCAGATTTTTATGTCACCCATTCAGAGACAGTATGCATGTCATTCACAAATCACAGGATAAATTCCATTTATGCCCTTAGAGTTTGCTCTTTCATCTACTGAAGCAGGAAAGTATCACTTTCCTGGTATTTCACTGTCCTGGTATTTCACTGTCCTAAGCAGCATCAAACTATTGACATTTAAAAACCAGAAACATGCCAAGGAAATAAAGTCTCGTGTTTGACTGTTCCTTTGTTGCTTAATTATTTCTTGATCTTCCCTTTCGTTTTCTGTTAAAATGCATTTAGCATTCTTTGTATAGACCATTAACAAAGAAGAAAAACCTATGTGCAGCTCACTGAAAGATATGTAAACAATGGAATTTAAACAAAGCAATTATATTTCACATGCAAAGAAACCCACAAACAAATATGTCATGTATGATTGAAAAAGATGCATTTGATTGCTATTTCAGATTTTATTTTTAACATATAATGTAATTAGGAGAAACTGTGTATTACTTCCACAATGAGTACCACATTCCTTGTGGTGCATTAGAACATTTAAAAAATTTTATTTACTAAGAATGAGTCAAAAACCTGGTAATGAGACACGAAGTTGACCATTAACTTGATTTAGCTGCCATTGATGACAGTGTCAGGGTTCACTTGCAATAGTTCAGCTGCAGAACAGCAGATGCCATGACAACACCACTGTTAACAACAGGACCAACCAGCACAGTCACTCATCTTCCTGAGAGCCCAGGGACTGAAAATGCCATTGGTGGCAAACTGCTCTTTACTCACTTGCAGGGAGGAACACTGGTTACTTGTGTGAAACATGTAGTCATGTTACACTTATTTCACTGATAGAGAATAGAAAAGCACTTTTCCTATCAGCAAGTTGATTTCTTTCACAAGATGTTCAAATAGAATAGCAAAGCTTTACTGAAATGGAATACCTAGGGAACTAAAGAAGTGATTCATCTCTTTAGAAGCAATTTTTCTAACAAAGTACAGTTTTGGAAAAAATAGAAACTCAGGTTTCTTCCTCCATTTGCAAGATCAAGTAATTAAGCATCTCTTAAATGATGCCTAGAAGTAACATAATGAACCTTTTCTGTTGGTGGTGTACAACACAATTTTCCACCTTCAAGCAGGTATGTAAAACAGATTCACCTCCTCAGCAAACCAATTTCATGGCTAAGGAGGCCTTTTCAAGGTAAACTGGTAAAATCTTGAAACTACAAGAATAATGTAAATTCTGCTAGTAGTGAACATTTTCCTGTTCACATAAACTACAACTGAACTACAACTGAACTACACCCATTTCAGACAGGCCACTCACAGGTGAGCTGAGCCCCACAGCCTGGCTCCCACTCAAACCTACAGAAATCAATTCTGTGGCTGTTCCCATTCCAAGTGTGTCCAATTACATTAAACAGAGAGAACTTATGCATATACTCTGCAAATACTTTTCTTATTGATAACTAATTTTCATTTGACAATCTAGTTTGCTTTTCTGCTTTTCAAATGAGAGCTGGGAACAAATTTACTCTGTAAAGTTATCCAGAAAATCTCCCTAGTCTTATGTTTTAAATGATTATGTTATGAACTAGGCTTGCATATCAAATAACAGAGGAAATACCAAATGGGAAGGTATAGGGTTGTTCCACTCTCTGCTGCAAGATTTTACTACAGATTAACTACCCTCTAAGGATTTACAAAGCAAACTTAAACCTGAATGTTTCACATTATGCATTTGTTTTTTCATGTTTTTATCTCCTTTTCAGCAAAAAATCTTCTCTGTGAAAATCATAGACTTTTAAGGTCCAAGGCAGGGTGTAGGGAGTTGGATAATGAACCTTTTCCCCTTGTTTTCCACAAGTGACACACCCATTACTTTCAATTTGGTGCCATTGATTTGTTGCATTAATACACAGTAACTGCCATAACCTAACATTGTGAAACATGAGGAACTTTCACAAGCTGCAACTTTATTCTGGTCCTATTATTAAAGATATTTTGTTTCACAGTCTTGTTTTAATTGGCACAAATTCCTCAGAAACCCCCGTCTGTGTTTTAAGGAGTCTGCCATTTTTCCTCTTCCTGAGGTCCTTCCCTCATGAGTTCAATTTCAGAAGCTTTCCATACCCATTAAAAACTAAAAATAAAACCCCTCATTCAGGGCTCTGATACTTGTTGGAAAGCAACTGAGCAGCAGTCCAGGAAAATAAGGCAAGTTCCTGTAAACTTGGAAAACTCTGAGTGGAAGTCTGAATTTTTGTCACAGCTACAAGACAAGAGTAGAGCAAGAAAATCCCTTTTAGCAGTGCCAGTTCCCCTTCACTAACGTGCCAGCCCTACTCATTGCACTCAAATGGGGCAGCAGAGCACAGGAGAGCGGCAGCAGAATTCTCCTGGGCCTCCAGAGAGCTTTCACACAGGCCTCAGCATCACTGCTAGCCTTAATTAAAGTTTTAAATAACCACCAATTGAGCTTGAGCAAAACACTCCTATTTGTGCAGGATTTCTGTCTAACACACTTTTAACCTTCATCACCTTAATTATCTCTCACAAGACAGTAAAGACTTTTACAGTCATCTGCCTGATTTTACAAGAAAAAAAAAATCTATGTTTCAAATACATTTATAAAACTCCTTAACATTATTTGATCTACTCTGAGAAAATCCATTTCAGAAGGGATTTTAGACAGATTATGTAACCTTTGTTTTTCCAATAATACACCCAGAATCGTATTTCAGAAGATCACTTCTGCCACAGCAGATGGGGGCAGATTAAAAAAAAAAAAAAAAGAGTGAAGGAAGAATTATCTTTTTGCACTGTCAAAATATTTTCTGATACCTAGTTTTAAATTTCTCTTCAGAGTGGACCTATGCATGCAGCAGGTGCTGGGTCAGTGCAGCAGCAGCTCCATGGCACCCTCCAAGCCCAGCACCAAGGTCCCCTCAGTGATCACCAGCACCAATGTCCTCTCAGTGATCACCAGCACCAATGTCCCCTCAGTGATCAGCAGCACCAATGTCCTCTCAGTGATCACCAGCACCAATGTCCCCTCAGTGATCAGCAGCACCAATGTCCTCTCAGTGATCAGCAGCACCAATGTCCCCTCAGTGATCAGCAGCACCAATGTCCCCTCAGTGATCAGCAGCACCAATGTCCCCTCAGTGATCAGCAGCACCAATGTCCTCTCAGTGATCACCAGCACCAATGTCCCCTCAGTGATCAGCAGCACCAATGTCCCCTCAGTGATCAGCAGCACCAAGGTCCCCTCAGTGATCAGCAGCACCAAGGTCCCCTCAGGTGATCACCAGCACCAGTGTCCCCTCAGTGATCAGCAGCACCAATGTCCCCTCAGTGATCAGCAGCAGGGAGGGCACCTCTGTGCTCTGGCTCACACCGTGTCCCTCCCTGCAGAGCTGCCAGCAGTGCCCATGGGCTGAGTGCAGCAGCACACTGAGAGGGCTCTGCCCAGCCTCACCTGGCCCCAGGCACACCCTGCTCAAGGCCCCTTTAAGCTCTGCTCCATCAGTCCTTGCCCGTTTCCTCAGAGAGGTGACTTTTACCCAGCCACAGCCTGCCCTTCCATGATCCCTCCCCTGGGACTCCCTCCCAGCCTGAGCCTGGCCCTGCCCCATTGCCACAGACCCGCCCCAGGGTGGCTGGGCTGGGTCTGACCCCGGGCTCTGTCCCTGCTCTGATCCTGAGCTTGACCTTGCCCCTGCCTCATCACTGATCTTGCCTGAAAGCCTGGACCCTGCTTGGGCCTGCCTGCCACCCTTCTTGTGACACTGGGCCACAGGTACAGCCAGGCAGGCTTCAGGGGCTGAACCGGGGCAAAGCAAGGCAGATCACAAGGAAACACAAATCTCTGTAGACCTTGGCCACCCTTCTATCAAACCCTCCTGGCTGTACGCTTCATTGCAAATATGAAGTGAATTACACATTCATAAAGAATGCAAACCTTCTATTTCCATATAAATCCCACATGAAATAAATGAAAAAAGGTATTCTCTCTTGTTTTTATTTTATACTAAAACAAATAAAGAGTGATAATAAAAAATAACTAACTCCTGCACAAGCTTAATGGTGGTTTTTCTTTTTTCCCCCATGTTTCAGGAGATTTCTAAGTGAAGTATCCAGATTTAAATAAAAAGCAGTGAAAGAAGAGTGTAAGCTACAGTACTCATTGGTCGTTCCAGATTTCACTGGTCAACAAACACACTTGAACCTTTTAGGCAATGTTTAGAATTGAGAGGAATAATGCATTGCTTTTATGAAGTTCTCCTTTTACTACAGTTCTCTTGCAGGAGATTATTACAGAAGCATTGCCGTTACTCTTTTTAATGAAGAGTGAAATCCAGAGCATGTGTTTGGTTTGTTTTGATTATGTTCCCTGATGTGCAGCGTTTTTCCTTTCTTCCCAAGATTTTATTTTGGCCGCAGAATCTCATTAACATCTAAGAATTGTTTGTATTTTGGCTTCTTTTCTAAGTAGGCTCTAAACATAAAATGAGAAACAAATGAACAGAGGAGATGGCAATGAGGAATAAACAAAAATGCAGGAGGGAAATGCTCCAGTTAGCTGGAAGGAAACATTGGTGAGTCTCCCATTGCTGTAAATCAGGAGAATGCAGTTTCCCGCTCCTGACCCATAGGAGAAATAAACTTTCCAGCAATTAGAGCTGTCAAAGAATCAGTCATGTGAAATGTTTGCAAGAATCTCATCTGCTCCCATCAATCCCATTTTGTTGCTAAGTTCAGTAAGGTTCACCAGATTTACTCTACTGATTAATGGACACTGGTGGAACTCTGCTGCTTTAATGCAGGATGACATCTTTAGAGAATTATGAGACAGGAAGCAATTTTTCTACAAATGCAAATAAAAATATCATAAAAGTTTGTCCAGACTCTCCATAGGCAAAAGAGGTTAAAGATCATATAGAAGTCAAAGCCATGAAACTTAAGTTAATTGTCTTATTTATGCTCAAGATAGAGCAATAAATGCAAAGACAGGCACAGACAAAGTAAGACCACCAGTCTCACTCTGCTACTACAGACTTTTAAACCTGTAATCTTTTCCATTGAGTGGGTAAAAACTTCTGTTTCTCTCAAAACTGAGCCTGGGGGTATCAATAGATGTGTTTAGACCTATTTCCCATACAAGGAACAGGAGTATACACTTTTCAGAAAAGAAGTGCTTGTTTCCCAAGAACGAATTGCTTTTCCTCCCTTCCTTTCCAGAGCACACATGGTGGCCACACACCTTGTTTGTGTAACATACACTCAATGGACTCTGATACCTGTTTATCAAAATGCCACAAATCAAGAACTGCATTGTCTTAGGAATATGAAGAGGTTTTTCATTACATATATAAAAATTCAGTGTGTGCAGAAACCAACACCAAGGAGGTTAATGCCATGGGGCGAAACAGGTGGCCCATAAAATGCATAAAGACATTGTAGGAAAACAAGACTGGAGAACAGGGCAAGAAGGCAGCCAAGTGTTATTTACAGGGTAAAGTAACATATAGCCCACCCCTGGGAAGGAAACACAACTCTTACACACAAATTTGTATATGCTCTACAGATTTTTTAAGTGCATATATGTAATATTGCTGAAATCACATTTAGGGAAAAGTAATGATAGCTACTAGTTCAGAACCACAGAAACTATTAATAATAATATAGGTAACTAGCATGATTTCTGCATCAATTAAAATTTTGCATGGTCTCAGTAAAACAAGAAAACAAAATCTTTTCACCATTCCTAAATTAGACCATGTTCTTTTCTTAAAACAATGTTAAAGAATACCCATGTCAAATTCTGCACAAATATCAAATCCTGATATTGAACATCTGCTGCCAGCAAAGACAATGGTAATTTTTTATGTTGCTGTGTTTTTTTCTTGATGTTTTGCTAGTTAACCAAGGCTATATTGTAATAGCTCATGCATCCCATCAATCCAGACAGGGAAGTCTGATCTATCCCTTGCTGAAAGAGGAAGTATGTGCCTAACCAATCTCTGACAGGCTTCTGGAAATCTCTACTTGCTGCATGTGCAACTGTACACATGAAGTGTTTGCAAAGTGGGTTCAGAAAAGGCCTTCTCTTCCAGCTGTAACTAAGTTTGAACTCAACCATTTCAAAGTTCCAAAAGTTATGATAAGTTCTTTTACCTCTTATTTCTAGGCATGGCTGAAATGTCAAAATACAATGGGAAAGACTGTTCTGTGGTATTTCCAGCTGGGACTTGAAGTAGGCATGTAATAAATCTCACAAAGAAGGTCTGTTCTTGTGAGATTTCCACCACAGTTTTGCAGACTCAAGAGGTTTGAACAAGCTTTTTTAAAGCATTTGAACTTTTGGCTGCTTATCTGAACCATTTGTGGCTGCCCATCGCTGATCTATGCTTATTGCTGAAGTGTGGCTTGGCTTAAAGTACTTTTTAAGGAATTGTTTGGGGAAATGACACATGCAAAGCCCATATACCTGGGAATGACCATTTCTATTCCATGACAGAATTCTCTTGTTTTTCAACACAAACACACTCCTCTACAAAGAAAGAGAAATTTCTGCTCCTAAGCTGCAGCCCTTTCAAGCACAAGCACAAGCAGACAGCTAATGGCCAAGAGCCTGACCTTGCAAAGCTGTTCACTGCTGCTGTATTTCACTGCCTGCCCCTGAATGTCTCAACATCCCAGTTATGAGGTATGTGTGAATCTTAGGAGATCCTGCATGTTTCACCTCAAATCTGCTTTTTTCCTGAATTAAGCTGTTTCTTACATCCTCTTTGTGAATCAAACTCCAAACCCACTCCTGGCAGAAGTGATGGTGAATAATGCCAACTACAGTAGCAAGCATTTGGAAGAAATTAATCTGTGCACTTATATAAACTGAGAAGGTAACAAAATCCATTCTTTACTCTCCAGCCCTAAAAAGTCTGTGGTAAAAAAAAACCTCCAACATTTTCCACATTACCTGCTTCACTTCTACGTCTCATTTAACATGTATAAATAAGCATAATAACATTCTACAGTTATAACCTTCAGCTCAAAAGCTGCTTTTAATTCTGCAGAGGACTAAATATCAGTGTAAAATAATCAAGAGGATGGTGCTAGAGTTTTCACTGCAATGTCTGTGCTTTATGTGGTGGAACTGCACTGGACAAGAGCAGCTGGGCAAAATGATGACTTTGAGGGTATAATGGATTTAACAGCACTGTAGAAAGAACAGATCTGTGAGGAAAAAAAAAAGGAAGAAAAAAAAAGCACTGCTTTTTCCCTATAGCAAAATCTCTGCCCTTTGCACTAATACCACTGCTTCTCCTGGTATCATTCTGTCCATACTATGCAGGAGCATACACTGGAAAAAAAAGTCATAATGACACAGATTAAATAGTCTGTACTTTTGTTTTCTTTATAAAATCTATTTGAGTCATCTGAGGGCTGAAAATTTTGCGGACTTTGTAACAAGAGTCTGATCAGCCTTTTAAAGTTCTGCAACATAGCAGGTACCTGCCCTACTTGTGAAGTTCCTGCTCCATCTCGGCATCTAAACCATGTGGAAAATCTTCTGAGTGTCCAAACTAATGCCCAGCCTGTGAGCCTGACATTCCTGGCTTTCAGAGGTACTATCACAAAGTGATCTAATGAAATCATGAAGTTGTGAATGTAATCTTACAGCTTCACTGATAAATTACATTATTTGTCTGTCAAAGCAAAGACAGACTGAAGGCTGAACTTGCCTACAGATGGAACTGATATGCAAGCATCCACAAGAGGGACCAAAATATCAGGCTTTTCTTAGCCCATGTTTGTAGCCCATGTTTTTTTTTAATGAAAGCATATAAATATCACCACTGAATAACAACTCTGAGCCCAATCATGAAACAAGTTAAATCACCACTGGTTTTACTGCTTTCATGCAGAGAATCTGACTCATTGGAAGAAAATTAACCCCAACATCCACGTTCACAAAATACAAGAGCCTGAATCAAGCCTGCCTGACTTTATAAAGTTGTTCCCTTCTTTTCACACCTATGAGATAATTGGTTTATGGATTGAACTTAAACCCAGACATCAGGCCTCAAATCTATATCCCTTAACAAAACAGTGGGGAAACTTTTAAGAGTCTGAATCTCGAGACTCAGCACTAAGCAAGAATAATAATAAATCTCAGCACACTCAATATTTTGGAAAGTTCAGACTCAGAGCCAATTCTAAGTCTGGACATTTGGCCATGTACCCACAGGCTTGCCCTTTCTATGCATTCTTGCATCTTAACACAAACTCAAGAAGCCCTTGGGATCATTATTTTTTTGTTTGCTTTTGCCTGTTTAAAAGACCAAGAATAAACATGGAAAATAAGATTACTCCTTTTATGGCTATACAGATGTGTATTTTTACAATTCTGATGCTCTTGTTTTAGAAGGCTTGGCAGGATAAAGATACTGAGAAGCCTTACCCTGTCACTCCATTCTGTAAGAAACCAGCTCTTGGCACAGGGGCCCATGTCGCAGTTCTCGATGTCATTTGGCCGCAGTTTCATGTTACATTCCTCATCATCAACAACGTCCCCAAGGTTGCTGACACACTTCACATCTCGAGTCCTCTGCCCCACTCCACAAGGCACTGAACACTGGGACAAAAAGGAGGTTGCATCAGGACTGCAGTGGTTTATCAGGGAGCTGGAACCATTCAGTTCATTCATTTATTCCTGCTAAGACATCTTTCTGGTTAGGAAACTGATGGTCATAGTCAAGCAGGGATTTATTGAACTAGGATTTGCTTATTTCCAAGGTTTTTAATATTCCACTTTGTTTTAAACAAAACCAAGCTGATGTTTTATTAGTGATACAAGAAAATTTGTATTCTTTCTGAGGTATTCTACCCCAAATGAATGGATCCTACTTACTGAGGTCCACTCAGTCCTGATCTGCCACTCGCTGCAGATCTTGAGCTGGCAGGTGCTGGTGGTGTCGGGCTTCTCCAGGTGCTGGCAGCGGTACTGCTGCACGGTCAGCGTGCGGTTGGCGTAGATCTGCCGGCACAGGATCTGCCGGTGCTGCATCCCCAGCCCGCAGGTTTTGCTGCACTCAGACCACTCCCCTATATCCCAGCTGAAGTGAAAAAAAAAGAATATCTTTGTTCCACAAAGAACTCTCTAACACTGATCTTAACAGAACTGGAATGACATTATTCTTATGCTGGTCCAGAATCCTATAAAATCCCACTTCAGTCTCTGTGTGTGCAGTGATCCCTTAGGAGGCACCATCACACACTTGTTACGCAGCCTTCCTGCAGAGGCTGGTAATTGTGAGCATGGATACAGATTGCACAATTCATGGTCTCCAGACATACTACAAATGTTACTCAAGCCTGTAACAGCTGCTTGGTTTTTAAAATAATCTGTCTAAAATATATATTACTGCTCTAATGACACTTCCCAAAAATTTTAAGATATGCTGCATGAAATTTTTCTGCAGCAAAGGCTCTAAAATAGACAACACAAAAATCACGAAATGCATCCAGGCATTCATTCATTCATCAGTAAAACTGAAATAGTAAATGATAAGCAATGAACAAACATAATTAACTTTAGAGACTGAAAAAAATCTCTAGATAGAGCTTTCTCATTCCAAAATTTCACTGTATTTATTCAGTCACTTTTAAATAAATATGTTATTTTCAGCTTTTTCTTTACAAGCATGAAGACACAGACACACATTTAAAGGAAGTATCTAAATTGTTTACACATTTTATTTCAGAACTCCTGTATTTTGAAAGTCAAACTACTTTCCTACTTAGAATTGCCCCCTTGACATGCAAGACCCCAAAGACACTGGTTATTTCACTTAAGTTACAGTATCTTACAAAGCAGGGCATGGGAAGAGGTTGCAGGCCTCCTCTTCTGGAATGGGTTTGGTGCTGCTGTCACAGTAACCCTCGGGTACCTCCTCGTGAGTGATTCTGTTGACGCAGTGGAAAATTGGGTACTGTGATCCTGAAATTAAACAGACAATTAAACGGTAAAAAATTGCAAAACACTCTGCAGCAACAACAGCAGCATCCGACATTGATGCAGAAAGGAAAAGCATAAATTGACAACAGGAAATACAGATAAAGGTTTTATCCAAAATTTCCAAATGTAAGAGCTGACAGGATGCGGTAGCAGTTTCTGCACTGTCCAAATTCCAGCAGATCTATTTGTTCAGTTATCTTAAATGGAAATCTAGGACAAGAGATGGTGGCAGTTCTCATGGGAAGCATTTTCACTTTGTAAAAGAAAGATAATCAAGTCTTTCTCTAAGTCAAAGTTTTACAAACGTGCTTTGAAATCTCTCAGGTTTTCATCAAAACTGTTAATTTAGCTCCCTTTTCTTTAGGTAGCACAAAAATAACTTATTTTTTCTTCTTGCAACTTAGAATTTCCTAAGGTCATTTAACTTTGGTGGATCTTAAAAAAAATAATTAAAAACTATCATTTATATTTCTGCATGAAGAAATAAAGTAGAAGAAAATGGAAAACACAGAGGTAAGAAAAAAGCAGAAAGTGTCCTATACCGAATGACGCCAAATGAAAACAAAGCCTTAAATAGTACAGATTTTTTTCTTGATTTTTCCACTCCTTTCTTTGTCAGCCTATATAACCTAGTTTGGCTTGAAATGCCTTAGGGCCATCAGAGAGGCAGGGGCATTTCACAGCAAGATCACAAGAAATGTTCATACATTCTCAATAGTCTCAGGATTTGGCTCTCAAGATCCAGGTTCTTTTGAATTTAACTTAATCAGAACATGCACACATTCTTCATATAATGCGAAAAGAGACCCTTATTTCTGGCAGCTCTGTTGCTAAATTACATGGAATAAATAGGAGGCTGAAATTAATTTTTTTTATTTTAATTTTTTTTTTAACATCCTAATGTTTTGCTATCTTCATTTTGACTCAGATTTCATTAATGCCACTGCCAAGAGTGACCAGATCCCTGCAGAAAGAACAAGAACTGTGTGCCAATGTTGATAAAGGCCACGGCATACACAACCAAGATTTCTATGATGGAAAGGAAGAATACATTTACCCTGATGTGTTCCTGCAACTGCACCATAAATTACCTGATTTGGATACTGAAATTCACCTTGAGTATGGGAATTCAGTCACTCAGTAGTTGATACAGACTGATTGCTGCTAGCCAATAATCAGACACAATTATGGATTCTGCTAGATGACTTGTAGTAAAAGCACAGTGTGCTTAAATGCCAACTAAAATATTTTTCTCCACAAAAGGGCTGACTTAAGGAAGTCTGAATTTTACTGGTAGTATTTTAGCTCTAGTACTTCTGCAGTAATTTCTCCAAGGAGTTTTCTTTTTTTTTAACTGAGAAGCAGTTTTGATTGCTATCAATATTGCTGGATTTTTTCAGCTGTCTGTAGCTATAACATGCACACCCATCTGGCCTTAGACCAAATTTACAAAGTGTCTTCTCAAACTAATTAGGAAGCAAATGTTCTACATGTATATGAACTGGTGACAGTCAGCTGAGCTCCCACACTGGTACATGTTTATTTTAAACCTCTGCAGTTTTATGGTATGGTGGTGGGTGGCTATGCACAGTACAAAAGATTTCACTTTTACCATCAAAAAAACTTATTCTTCCAAGTAATTGCTTGTGTTCTGCATTATTGAATCTGTGGTCACTGTGAATGTCTGGCAGCAATGCTTAATCCCTGTAGTATATACAAGCAGTTTATGCACCACTTCCCAAAAGTTCACCAGGCCCTTTCCACCCCTTTTCCTTCCCACTTCTTCCCGTTAAAACCTCAGACTTCTGTAGTCACACCAGTGCTGCTCCAGCAACATCCTATGAGACAGAGATCTGTCTGATGAAATGCCTGTGAAACCTTCCCAGGAAGATCAGAAAACAGTTGACAAAGACACAAAAAGCACAGTGGGTGGATCTGACAAAGCTGAAGAGGCAAAAGGAATGGTAAAGAATGCCAAAGATGTTGAGGAAAGTAGCTGTGTACCAAGGGCATGGGAGAGAGCAGCTCGCCATAAATGCTGAAATATTTCCTTTCAGAGACAAATGCCATATCCTTCCTTATAGTTTCCACACTTTCTATTTCAAATTTTGCTGGTTTTACCAATTTAAATATAAGCACAGGTAATAGTAGTGATGTGACTTTTGATTGCAAGAGAACAGAAAACAGCAGGTCTAACCACATTTTGTGCATACACAAAGCACTTACCTTTCCCACATGTAGTCGTGCACTCAGTTTTTCCAACCTGTTTCCAGTTGTATTCTCGGTTTTGCCTTGGTGGTTGCATAGCAGGCACCTGGTTTTCTGGCTGATGAGAAGGAAATCTTCCTGGCTGAATAACTGGAAAGGTTCCAGCTGACTGTCCAGTGAGAATGTCTGTCTCTCTGTGCAAATCCTCAGACTCATGACTTGTACTTTCTGGCATTCCTAACTGACCATTCAGTGGCTCCCCTGATGATGGACAATAATAGAAAAGTAAAATAATGAGCCTATTAGTCTTTGTTATTATTCTCTAATAATTAGAACTGGAGAATCACTAAACTTGAAGCAGCTTTAATCTGCTATGTAGAGACTGCCTAATAGTGACCTGCAAAGATTGTGTTGTTTAAACTAAGATAACCAAATCTTAGCCAGCAAGTACATTAAAAACTAAAAACTGAGGAATCTCCAAAGACAAGGCAGAGTTAATGCACCCAGTGTCAAAATTTCCCAAAGCATTTTTGTTTTGTTCCGTGCTCTGCATTCTCTGCCTCCCCATGTCACAGCACAGCTGCTCCTCATTATGAACATACCAAACACTCAGAAATCTGCCAAAGCAAGTCATGAACATTAAAGTGAGGAGCAAATTCACTTGCAAAGTTTCTCCTGTCCTTCAGAACTTCCTAGGTGTACACACAGCACATACCCACAGCTCAGGCAGGGGCTGCCCAGATTCTTGCTTGGGAAGAGAACACTGTTCTGTTTCATCCTCTCCAGTTGCAAAAGGAAAGGGGAACTGTGGAGGGTTGTTTTAAATTATCTCAGAAAGAAAAACAGTCTGAAAATAAAGATCATGCTCTATTTAATTTCTGAGACATGGTTACAACACTCCTACTCAAAGTAGTAATCTTCCCAGCTAAAGCATAATAAACCCTGCCAGTTTTAATTCACTGAAGTTTTACCAAATCTATGGTGAGTTCTAATTTAACATTTCATAGGGTGAAATTCTGGGCCTCTCTGACATCAATGACAGCATTTACACTAATTCATTGGTATGAATTTCTCCATTAGCTTAATAAGTAACAAAAAGTGTTTGATAAAAGGAAATGGTGACATTTTACCTGGCCTCCTGTGAGCAAGCAACTGAGGACTAATGACATTGTCTCCTGGAATGATATATTCATAATGTATACCAGGGTTAGGCTGCTGATGAATCATCTAAAAAGAAAACCAGCATACATTGAGTTCTTCCACTTGTTATGTTACTAATACTTAAATATCAACTTGAACTGATCAGGTACATAACATTATTTATCACTGGTTGGGATAGAAGCAATCGTTAATGGCCAAAAAAAAATGCAAAAAGAAGAAAATACAAGTTACTATTTGCAAAGAAGAAAATGCAAGTTCCTGTGTTTGCAAACTGAGCTAGCATTTGATGGCAGAGAAACTGTTTGTCTAAATCTTCTCTGAAAAACCTAAGACTGCCATGCTTGGGCCAAGGTGTGCTGTGGGCTGTGCCAGCCATGGCCTCTCCCCTCAGCAAGGGGAGCAGCAGAGGCTCACACCAGGCCTCAGCAGTAGAAGAGAACAAAACACTCTCAGCAGGGAGTTGACAGATGCCTGAGGAAACAAAAGCAAAGAAGAAACAAAGCAGAAAAACCAAAACACCACAACCCCCAACCCTACACATGCAGCCCCAACCCTACACATGCAGCCTCCTGCACTTTTAGAGATTCCCCAGTGGCTCAAGGAGACCCCTGCAGACAGCACACACACACTGCTGTGTGCCCATGGCAAAGCTGCTGCTCCTTCCAGCACCTGCAGCTCCCTCAGCACCCATGGAGCCCCAGCAACCCAGCAGCTCAAACTGGGGCCATCCTGCTGCCCTCCCCAGGAGCACTGCCCAGCAAAGATCAGGGAGCAGGTCCCGAAGGCCCATGGACCTGCAGCAGCAGCTGAAGATCGCCTGCAGCCCTCCTGCATCCTTCCACATTCATCTTCAACTGAACCAAGATGCCTTACAGAACACAAGTCTATCAACATGCTCTTTATGAAACACAGGCAGGAACCAGGTTTTCTCCTTTAGATGTGAAAATGAAGCTCAGGGTTTTCAGAATGCTGCTGCAAAAGCCCAGGTGAGCTGACAGGAGCATGACTCTGACAGTCACTGTTAAACTGGGGGTGCTTGTGTAAGCAGTTGGGCATAATAGGACCTGAGAAAGATATGACTTTAGGACAGCTTTTATAAACTGTTAGCAGCACACTCCATTCCCAACTGAATTCTACTGCACTGCTGCTCTGAGCCTGAGCACACCCACACTACAAATGCAGGGGTGTCATGAGCTGATAGTTCCACCACTTTAGCTCTCATTACTTCAGTACTCACACTCATGTTCTAGCCTGAACTCTCTGTGGAGATTAATCTGATAAAAGCCTCAGCCTATACTCAAAGTACCCTTTAAAACCAAACCAAATCAAACCAGAACACAAACAAAAACCCAAACCAACAAACCCACAAGCAAACACCAGTGCTACCTCTGGCTTTTTGGTCCTCACCAATGAATCTCATGGATTCATGGACCTAGAAGTAAAATGTCCTGTTATCCTAATGGCCCAGTGACCCAGCAGAGGACAACTAATGCTTCAAGGCTACACTAAATTCACATCTATTAATACCAACTAGGGATTCAGACTTCTGTTTTAACTTATGTCAAAATCACTCTTTCCTTGCCAAATATAATAGCTGTTCCTCTAAACACTGTCCCCCAGAGAGTATTCACTTTTCTGAACCAGCTAATAATGCACTGCCTGCAGTATTTTTTTTAAAGGTTGGGTCCTTCCAATGTCACTTTCTTATCCAAAAAATACACCCTCTTTGTGGTCCTGAGAGAACCAAGAACTGTGAACTAACTTCAGCAGTACAGTACACATCCCCTTCCAGAGCCAGGACCCTGTTCTTTAGATGGTTCCAGGAACAACTTCCCAGTGGTTCCCATGTGATGGTTTTTCCATCATATTTCTCAAAACAACTGACAGGCATATTTTAGACAGAGCTTAACTGATGAGGTCCCTAATTAGCATATTGTTCCAGGTTTCCTGCAGGAAAATACCTGAAATGATAGACCAGTTTTGCTTTGACTTAGTGGACCCAAGTCTTTGTAGCAATGTATACTTCACACTTGGACAGAACTTGCATCTCTTTTTCTTGTTACTTATAACCTCCTGTACATCAGAAAGCTTTTCACTTTATATTTCAGAGTGGAAGAAAGACAGCATATCTCAGAAAAACAGATCAGAAGCCATTTGGAGTTCCCATCTGCAAATCTCTTCATTTTTCTACACAGAGCATAAAGATCATGAGTATGGGTGAATGGAGAATTACACGACTCAGGCACTGTAAGATGAAGTCTGAAAAAAGACATCTGTATCTGCTTGGCTACACATCTCAAGCCTGGGAGAGAGGCTGTGCCATACTGAGCATTGATTTTCTTGCATATAGCACTATTCACCTTTATCTTCCCACAGTATATTAAAAAAGAGACTAAACTACCATTTTATACTGAATTGTATTATTCCTCCTATCAACCAGAAACATCTCAGGTGAGAATCCTGTCAAATCAGAAGTGGCAATCCACAGCAGCAGCCACAGAGCAAAGCTGGCAAAGCTGAGCCCATCATGGCAGCTTTCTTACACTCCCTAAGCCTAAACCAAAACATTACAATATCAAACATCAAAACAAACATCAAACAACATCAAAACTTAAGGCTTTTTAATGATATTACTTTGGAAATGTTTAATCCATTTCCTAACCCATTTCTCTCTGGGTCATTACGTACTAGGCATTAATTGGCTGAACATAAAAACTCAGGGCCAAGCCTCAACTCACAAACCCTGTAACCTCACAAAAACACAAACATCTGAAAAACACAGGGTCTGCATTGCACAGTTTAGGAGCCCAATTGTTTATTTTTCCAGGCTTTTCCCAGTCGTTCATTACAATCAATTGGAAAAGAAGTTTGGATCAGTTGGACTTGATGATCTTAGAGGTCTTTTTCAACCTCAATGATTCTAGTGTTAGTACAATTATTACACTGCTTTATTAGACACCATATAGCAGATGGGAAATAACTTTGCCAACATCTAACTTTTCCCAGCTTAGTAATCAGGGTAGTTACTATTAAGTTTTCTATGGAATTATCCAGCACACTCACTTTTCTACCTTGCATTGCACTCAAGGACAAAAAAGCCTGGATGAAAGAATCATATATTCAGTTAATTTCTTTTTTTCAAGAAATGAATTTTACTGTGTGGGAGTGTATAATCTCAGAACACACCATTTATCTTGGAAGAAGTTGTAATCAATTCCAGTTATGTTTTTTATTTCAGTATGATGAACTAAAAACCCATCCCATCTAAAGTAAAAAGCTTTCTCAATATTCCTCCCTCTTAGACACAATTTGTCTTCTGTCTTCCTTTCTCAAATAGCCATTATCTATGGTCTCCCATCACAGCTTCATATTGAAACTGCCCTGCTTCAAATCCTACATTCTATAGAATGGAATAGAAGCAAGCATGGACTAGCTTCTTTTAAAGGAAACTGAGATGGTGAGAGGCCTTGTCTGGCTTAAGTATTTGCTTCTTCACTGAGAAATTAAACTATACCAAATTTGTTTCAATAGGAAAGTATCCAGAAAAAATCCAGTTCACAAAAGAAAAGCCTTGAACATTGTATGCCATATTTCTACTTTACTGAGCAAGTTCAATTGGTTATACTGGATCAGTTAAGACTGAGAGAAAAAGGCTTGATGAAGATTTCCAATGATCTGGAGCAAAACAGATACCACAGCAAACAAGTGTAAAACATCAAAACAAACATTTCAAAATTGCAGCAACAAAGAGTTGGTACTGAATACCATTTTAGTGTTGCATGTTAACCACGAACTGAACGATTTCTTTTCCATCAGGAAGAATAATTTAAATACTAACTCACATAGACATCAAGGACTTCATTTGTTGGCCCATCAGCCAGAAAGGACTCCCCTGCAGTGCTGGAGATCTCATTGGGGCGTCTGTAGGTGAACATTGTGCCCCCTCCTTCGTACCTGCCCGGCCGGTCGATGGCCCAGTTACCGTTGATGATGGAGCGTCCCGAGCGGCTGCGCAGGGCTGCGGGGACACAAACACAAGCACTTGTCACAGGAAAGCCCCTTCCCACATGCAGGGACACAAACACAAGCACTTGTCACAGGAAAGCCCTTCCCACATGCAGGGACACAAACACAAGCACTTGTCACAGGAAAGCCCTTCCCACATGCAGGGACACAAACACAAGCACTTGTCACAGGAAAGCCCCTTCCCACACTGCTGCCCAGTCAGCTCCCCACAGCTGCACAGAACACTCTCAGGTATTCCTGATGCCAGGCAACAAAGCTGATGAAAAGAACAGTTATATTAGTAAAAAACTCAGCAAATAAACACAAAGCAATCTTAGAAAACTGTGTCTCAACACTTCGTAGGTTTACGCTGTAGGAAAAGAAGGAAAAATCAAAGACAGCTTGGAAATCTTTTTCAACAGTTTCTCCTAGGTGGCCATGTGACTCTCAGCCAGCCAGCAGCACACACAGCACACATGGATGCCAAGGAAGTGGTTTTCCTGCACTTTCTTCCCATTGCATGGACTAGTTTGTGATTTAGGCAGAACAAATCACAGAGTCAGGTACAGAAAACCAGTGCATTGCACAATGTAGAAGGACCAAACAACGTAGGAGCACATGAGTACCCTGAGCTGCCAAATGTTCCTGTTATTCTTCATGATGCCCTTTGGCTGGTCCCTCCACTTCCTCTTCAGAACAACTTTGTCAGAACATCTGCAGAGTCCTGACCTGCAGCACTGCTTGGAGTGCTGAGCATTCTGAAAATGCTCTGTAGGATCCCTTGCTTAAAGAAAGTGACTTGCAAATCAGACACTAGCCAGGGACTGATAAAATATGGATTCAATGTCCTGCTGGGCAGTGCGTCCCTTGCTTATTATGGGCTAGTCACTGGTTTGGTGACATAGGAGCCTCTGTTCCTCCTCATTCCTATTTTCTTTATCTGTCTATGTGACTATAATTTTCAGTCTTTAAGGTCAGAAACTCCTGCCACATATATCCATAATATATGCAATACTACAGTTGCATTATTTTACATATATACATACATATAAATATATATACACATATAGAGAGAGAGAGAGAGGCTGAAAACCTATCAGACATTGCTTAAGAACACAGGAATGACAGAACCCTTAGTTTCTCTAAAGGCTCTACTCATAGATTTTCAATTTTATTACAAAAGAATTTTCTTTTAAATAAAAACTTTTAAAGAGACAGTATAATCTAGTAATACCCTTGGCTTTATTTTGCTTGGTAATTTACTTTTTAAAATCCAAATTAAAGGTACAAGCTTTGAACTTAAAAAAAAATTTAGGGTCAAGGAGCCAGTTATTCCAATTTGCTTCTTCTTCACCCTGTCTCAACAACAGTGATACTCAGTTAAAATGCTCTCAACATTATACACAACTATTTATGCTACTAGGAAAAACTTACATGCATGGCCTAAATGATGGGAAATTAGATTTATGCTACTAATTCCAAAGTAATACACATTAGAGACAAAACTCTTCTTTTTTTGTACATATTCAAGACATCTGAATTAACTTAACTAATCAATAGAAGCAGTCTTTGTGCTTTGCTGCAGGACTCAGAACAGAATGTCCCATGAGAAGGGACAGTGACACTCCCTTGTCTTGTTAGGTTGTAAAATTCAACATCTTTTGACTCGGAGGGGTTGCTGTTGACTACCCAACTATTTATAATTTGCCTAATATTGATGAAATATTTTTATAAAAGCAAAAATGTCAATGAATTTAATGGCTTTGGATCAGACCCTGTAAATGTAATCACACATTTTGAACTTTTATTTTACTTAACGCTACATGTTTATTTTCCCAAGAGCTGCCATACATCCACTTGCTTCCTAGGTTTCATTTACTGACATGCCAACAAAACAATCTCTATACTGTGGACATTACTTGAAAAATATTTTATACAACATCAGCCATGGAAATGGCTTCAGCATTCCTCATATCGTGCAGAGAGGAAAAATTGCAGCTCAAAAAATATTGCACACAGGCTAAACAGGAAATCCAGCCACATTATTTGCTATTTACACTTTTTTACTCTTTGATTCAAACAACTATGGATTAAAAACTTCTGCAAATGTATTAAGAGACTGATTTTACTTTGGTTTATTAATGTGGAACACTTCCTTAACTTTATGATCTGAGTATTTTTCCTTAGATTGATGCTAAACAAATAAGATAAATGAATCATCAAGAGCTCAAGAAAAAAAAAGAGAGCTGGCTAAGATTGTTATTAATAATGCAACTGTAGAAATATGGCTGTCTGAAAAACTGAGTGCACATTAAACTTTCATTTCAAATCCATCATATGACACATTTGAAAGAGGCCTCTCCATAAAAAGGGAAAATGTGCCTCTTTTATGTTTTGATCACTCTGCATCCACCACCTCAAGCCTGCCCCCTGAAGAATTTTTATGGTGTTAATATTTTTAGCCAAAGCATGAAAGATTATGAGAAGCTTTACCATTAAGTCCTCATGAGGAATTCCTCATACATGCTGTAGCCCATTTAATCTATCTTTCATCTTGGAAACAACTTTTAACTAAAACTGTGTTGTTTACAGTGGCCTTCAATAATGTTTTGCATTATGTGATATGGAGTATTTCAGGACCCAGAGTGATGTGGAGTATTTCAGGATTCAATTCTGATTAACTTCTCCATATTAGTAGTTTGATATATATTTTAAGTGTCTTGCTGAATGACTCCTATTTTTTAACCATATCTGAAGAGAAGTATTTATGGTGTGGGTGTAGTACCTCACTATTTGCAGTACATTTTCACCCAAAATAGGCACAGTACCAATAACAAAATGAAACTTCTTAAATCTGGCAACAGCACTAACATGCAAAGCAATAGCGTATATTTTTCTGTCCTAAGGCTTTTCTGTCTGGGAGAACAGTGTCCTAAGTCCTAGTTAATTGCTTTACAAGCCCTATGAAGGCTGCAGACAGACAGAATTGAAGTTATTTCCCATACCCATGAAGTGTCTCCCATTTGGTCCTGCCCCACAGAGAGTGAAGCAGGGAGCAGCTCCCCTCTCTGGGAACAGCCTTGCAGCTGTGGCCAGTGGGAATCCAGGGCAGGGCCTGGCTGCTGGAGTCAACTGCAAATGTCTCACTGGTGATTCAATCCAGGGAACCTGCACAAGCTGCAGATGCATTCAAGTCAAAGACTGAAAAGACATCATAAAATGTTCTTTGATAAAGGTCCTCAACAAAGGCACCTCCAACAGGCGAGTGGGCGACATGGATGGGGCTCGCTCTCTCTGCATTTGCTTTGCAGCTGTCAACCAAAAACCAAAGCATCTTACAGGCAAAGTGCAGCAACTTTCTTGTTTTTTACACCATAAGCACAATTTTTACTTGACACATCACATTTGAAGCATTTTCCTTGTATTTTATTTTAACAAGCTTTCTATAGAAACACCACTTTCCCAGCACCTTTTAAGAAAGTGCCTAGACACAGCTGCAGTAAATAGTCAAGACTACTTCTGAGTAACCACTTTGATGAAAGAAGTAAAAGAAACATGCAACTTCTCCTTTTTATCTTTCCTGCACAAAAATACATTATATGGAGCTTTCAGAGACAAATCTAAAATATTCACATATTGCATTATAAAAATCAGTGCAGGGTGGTGCATCTTGTACACCTCAGCCCCACAGATAGCCTTTGGTGACATCTCCTGGGAGGTAAGTCAGCTGGCTTCATGGTACTAACCATGAGGAATGCAACAGGAAGAGAAACTTGGAAGGGAAGGGCTTGTTGGAAAAGTGGAGCAAATGGAAAAGTCCAGAAAGTGGCAAAGTGCAGCAAATGCACAGAGCTGGCCTTTAACTCTGAGCAGCCATACCCACAGCCTGCTGACCAGAGCAACTCCTACAACCAGCAGCTACTCCTGAATGCATTCCATCTTGCAAGACTGGCAGGCATGAAGGAAGGCTGTGTTTTGTGATACTGAGTAATTTTTTGGAATTTTTTTGAGGATTTTTTTAATGTCTGAAGTTGTCTTCAAGTGCTTTTGGAGAAGAGAATTTTGGTTGTCTGCCTTTCTATACAATTACACCATAATACAGACCCCTATTCTTAAATATATTACTTATTTTTTATTACATATATTACTATATTACTTATTTTTTTACCTAGAAGAAACTTCAAAATCTGCTTTTTAGAAATCCAACAAACATCTTTGCTTACAGCTTTGAGTAGCTTGGACATATGCTTATTTTGTAATGGTACTGTTGAATTTATCCATGAACTGAGTAGTTGTCATAACATTGCAAATTAAATATGACACATAGTAATTATTGCTAGCATTAGCAGTCAAGCAATTGCTTAAATATTTTTATAGTAGGCATTAGATAAAAGTACCAGATTCCCAACACTATTAAAAGGAAATGATAATTCAAGTATACTATTATTTCCAAGGAAAGGTTTGCACAGTTGTTTTTCTTATCTAAAATATTAACAGCAGAACTTCAGGTCAACAGCATAATCTTGTTCAATAAGTTATTCAGATATTCTCCTTGGGAAGCTATCACACAAAGAAATCCTGCTTCAAAGGGGAATAAATTTGAAACAGTGAATTTCATTAAACCAATTTTGCCAAGTTTGTCCTGAGGTCCCACTTTGGCAGGTTTTACCCCTCCACCAAGACAGTGTCAAAAAAAGCAAGTACAAGAGATTCCTATTTGGTTGCCTTAGGTGTAATTTAGTGTTGTTTTAGTTTTGAGAAAGCAGGCATCTTCTGGGTCCATTTCCTAATGATTATGAGAGCAGCAAGTCCCACTATCACTTTTTGAATATTCCAGATTTTTTTTTTTACCTGCAAAAAGAAAATACTGTTTATTTGCTTAAATGCAATTATTTTGCAGTTAATCACTGCAAACAGAAATGCTCCTTTTCTGCACTGCAGCAAACAGTCACTTTCCATTTTGGAGGATCCATTGACCTATTGCTTCCCCAATTTCCTCAGAGAGAAGCTCCC